TCCAGCGCAGCATGGAGGAAATGCTTGACTCCCTCAGGGATGAATGTTGCATTCCATATCTTGATGACGTGCTATGCTATGCCAAGTCTTTTGAGGAACATGTGGAAGGAATTCGTCCTTCAAAGTCCTTCAAGCCCTCCAACGTCATGGGGTCAAGCTCAGGCCTGAGAAGTGTGAGCTCTTCCACCACGAGGTTCAATATGTTGGTCGCCTTGTATCCGACAAAGGTGTGCGAATAGATCCCATAGCAGTTCGCTCACTCAAAAACCACATTCCACAGACAATCGGTGATGTAAGGAAACTCCTTGGTTTCCTAAGCTACTATCGTTATTTCATCCAAGATTTTTCATGTATAGCCAAGCTAATTTATGAACTACTCCAAACAAAACCAGGAGTGGCACCAGTCAAAGGAAGACCAAAGGCCCACAACTGCCTTCCTGAACTCCTGTAGAGTGGAAAATCGAACACTCTGTTGAATGGACCTCCAGGGCGAGGTCTGCAACAGATTTGCAGTTAACACTGTAGGGGTTTATGGGGCACCAGCTATGCCCATAATGGGTTATTCACCATACTATCCTTCACAAACACCAACATACTTACCTCCATTTTACATATCCCTATCTGAACCTTTATTGCCATACCAGATGTTTACTTAATTTACTTACCCTATATGTGCTTATCAGTGTTGGGAGTAAAGCATTACAAAAGTAATAATATTACAGTCGTATATTACTTTTTGCTGTAACGCAGTAATATAACGCATTACTAATAAAATTTGGGTAATATTATTACTCGTTACAATCTCAGTAACGCAAAGTTACAACAACATATTTTAACTCAAAATTAAGTGGTGAATTTACCAACACCGCAAAACAGCACCAGAGAAAAAATTCCGCGGGTAAAATAGTTTGTCTAATTCCTGTTGCTGGAATTAGATGGTTAAGATGACTGCAGAGACGGATTCTACATTTGCGAGATGGACACACTCCTGTTATTTTCAGTTTGTCGGAGAAAAGGATAAGAATGCATAGTCAGGTGCAATATGTGCGACACCAAACTCTCAACATGGAGAAATTGCATGAGTTATCGGAGAGAGCTGCGGGGTCGGAGAAGAGAAAAAAGGCGGCTGTCGAGCGCAGACAAGCAACAAAAATAAGTAACTAAAAATAACAAAATCTGTTTTTATTAAATCATAGTCTATAAAATGAATGAATATGCGAAATATTTGACTTAAATAGCCTAATTAACAGATTAACAAAACGAAAGGAAAAGACTGAGAGATATCGAAAAGTTTGGTTCATAGGCTATTTGTGTGGCGCGGCGCTCTACGAAAGTCCACGGAAAGGAAACCGAGATGACAGAAATAAAAGTAAACACATTGCAGTTTCGAATGATCTGCATGACCAAACATTTTTTATAGTATTTTTTGTTGTTTGTTTCCGCTGTTCAATCGCGCCGGCGCCTCACGCACACACATACAACATTGCAAACGTTGCAGCCTGTACATTATTAGAATAAAATACAGTCAACCAAACGTATAGATACACTGGTTAATTTAAATAGCACGTACTGCGTAGTTACAATCCGTGCCGTTCAGCCTGTGCTCGGGCCAAACACACATTTGCTCATGTGAAGAGGATGTTTTTTAAAAGCGTTAAGTAAGCCTGGTTTACATAATAAATAATAGTTTTGCATTCAAATACATCGCAAATATGGACACATTTAATTGGATTAATGCTGAATGAGAGAGGTAGGCTGCGCGAGAACGCCATTTGCTTTCAGTTTCGCATTGAATTAGCCAGCCTAATTAGTTTTGGCTTGTTTAGCAACTTATATTTTTCATTCTTGTTTTCTTCTGAAACCGTTCTAGGCTAGGTATTGTGTTTATTGTTTGTATATTATAACATTTTGCTTTATTTACCAGTGTTATTTATGAATGTAATAATGCGGCTTGTGCTTATCTGTGTTTAACCTAAACTAGGCTACAACGTAACATTAATGTAGACTTATACCAGTATCTAAATATGATTTTATAATTTTATGCTATATAGACCTACCACATTACCCTCCACTGGATGTAGGATGAGCAGCAATAAACTACATTTTGGCATTTTGTAATACTTGTGGATATTTTGATGAAAGTAACTCAAATGTAACGCAAAAGTAGTGTAACGCATTACAATTCAGAGACAGTAATATTATAATGTAACTAATTACTTTCAAAAGACAGTAACTAGTAATATATAATGTATTACATTTTGGAAGTAACTTGCCCAACACTGGTGCTTATTGAAAGACAATAAGTAATCTGAGAGTTAATGAGTTTAAAGAAAGTTACAAGGTATCATTTTCTTTATCCGGGAAATTGTGACCTCCCCCCACATTGAATTTGGGTCACAAGAATTTTGTGGTATTTGTATATACTGTATATTATTTGTTGTTTGCACATGTATAGTATTTACATGTATTTTATAATATTTTTCACTACATCAAGATGTATGATGAGTGTATTTAAAGAGAACATGCATCATCTAGAAACACTCATGGCAAAAAGTTATCAAAATAATTTTGATTGGTGATTCAGGTTCGCAACAGAACGCCAAAACATTTGAAATAGCAGTTGCCTTTTACTAAAAATGTTATATCTCTTGATTGCAATGAGATATTTTTAACCAAACATGGTACACGTGTAGAAGCTCAGTCCGAGGTCACAGTAAAAAAAATTTTGCTCTCTATAACTTTGCCTTAAGTTCCTAGGTATTTCACTAAACCTCAAAAACACTGCAGTACAATTCTCTACATTTTACTATGCTTAAACCCCAATAAATACTGCTTGCAGCTTTAATAATATCACTGTCCCGGTACATTAAGCATTCTTTATATGATAGGAAAATGCTTAACGTGTAAATAAACATGTTGCGTTCACATTTTGGGCTTATGTGCGTATCTGCATGTAGTATATGATTTACAATTTTGTCTTTATCACTGTCTTGGTACATTAAGCCACATGAAGCGTTATTTATGTTAAGCATTTTAATGTCCCTGTTCAAGTTCTGCTAATTCACAAGCCAAGTGAAAGTCATACTCGCGAAGGTGATCAAACAAAATCAAAACTTTCAAAAACAGGCAGCAATATGATTCTTTTATTGAGTGACAGGCTGTGGGTTTAATCTGTGACATTATTAATAGATTTACTATCCGGCTTCTTCTTGTCATCTCCGCGACCTGCTTCCATGATTTTTAGTAGTGGTCGACCGATATTGGTTTTTTGACAGCTGATGCCAATATCTTGGAAAGCAGGGTGGCCGATGGCCGATATAATTTTATTTATTTTAATTAATATTTAAGAAATTTGAAATAATTTGAAAATGGATTAAAAAATAAATCTGTAAAATAAACATACTTATACTTTAGACGACAAAGTATTTTTACAAATAAATAAATATTTAATAAAAATATAATTAAAAAGGAAGTAAAAAGTAACCAACAGAGCACTCAGTATTCTGGGAAGTTTGTGTGCATTGGGAATCATATTTTTTCAAATAAAGTCAAGGTAACACTCATTTTACATACAGCACACGGTGAAAATGACATGAATATGACAGTGGGCAAATGGATAAAGCGCAGCATAATTTGAAATCACAAGTTTAAATTTTGTCGATCGCGCATCTCCAGTGAAGCTGAACTCTGATCGACCGTCACGCAGAGAACACGCGATCATGCAGGATACAAATGCACACTTCACAAGATCTCAACTAGATTCGACTAAGTTTGCAAGGTTTGTGAAATTAAATGTTCATTAATAGACATTCAAAGATTTGTTCAAATGATTTAAATGCGTATTTACTGAATGCTGACGGCAAATGAGACAGTATTATGTTTGCTTTTCTATTACTAATAATATAAAAGCAATCGTTATAATACTTTTTTGTATATATTTAAATTCCTTTGTTTAACCTTTCTATCTGATTATTAGACAGACTTCTATCCATATTAGACAGAACTGTTAATGACAACAGCGAACTAGAGGGAGAATGTGAGCACATGCCACCTCGAACGCATCGGCCAAACACGAAAACTTATCGGTTTTATATCGGTCGACCACAAATTTTTAGACATAGAAAAGGCGAAAAAATACACTGCATTGTCCAGTTTTCTCAGAACAATGATCGGAGTTACTTTTGCAATTCTCGATTCAGCATGAATGACATACAATGGTGACATTTTCCACAATCAAGACAGAAAATCAAAATACTGCCCTGAACTCAATAGCGGCGAGGTAGCGCAATCCTCTCAATATGGCGGATAAACAAAGCAGTTTCCCAGAACTCAACGCAGCGTGACGTCAGCTTCACATTCTCTATTAGTAATGATTATAAACGAGAATTGTTAACGATATTGCCAATATCCACACAGCTGACAGTTTTACCTGTTGTAGATTGTTCAAGTTGAGCATGAAATAGACACTGCTTTTGTGCACTTTTACTTGCACATCTCCGTCATTTCGATCTCTCTTGCGCTGCACAACTGAGCTGCGTTTAGCAGACTGTGTGTGTCAGTGCTGCAGAGATGAGGACTGTTTGAAACTCTTTTTTCCACTAAAACTTTGATGCGCATCGTCTCAGTTTAATACATGAACATAACAAAAGGTGTGATCACAAAACAATCAGGATATGTTTTTTTAAGTCATAACATGTAGGCCTAAATATATATAGTCACCAGTGGTGACCTCAGCAAAAACTTAGGGGAAATTTTTTTTTTTTTTTTTTAAACTTAACTCGCAAGTTAATATTTTTGGACGCAAATGAGACTGTTTTAGTAGCAGTCGGGAGCCCTGGTATATACATTTCTCAAACCCGCATGCTGGGCGAAGTATATGTCTTAGGTTTGTGCCCAGCTATCCTGTAAAATACTGTATCTGATTAACCAAGTAAGCAACGTTCGATAAAAGGAACCTGAAGCATATGGAATGATATCGACATTCAAGGACTAAATTTTACCATTTTTATCCAAAGTCCCACAAACATCCATCTGCAGCAAGGATAGCAAGTTGTGTGATTTACAAACCGAGTCCACACATTGTAGGCCTAAATATATATAGTCACCAGTGGTGACCTCAGCAAAAACTTAGGGGAAATTTTTTTTTTTTTTTTTTAAACTTAACTCGCAAGTTAATATTTTAATGTTTAATGTTTAATGTTAATGTTTTAGTAGCAGTCGGGAGCCCTGGTATATACATTTCTCAAACCCGCATGCTGGGCGAAGTATATGTCTTAGGTTTGTGCCCAGCTATCCTGTAAAATACTGTATCTGATTAACCAAGTAAGCAACGTTCGATAAAAGGAACCTGAAGCATATGGAATGATATCGACATTCAAGGACTAAATTTTACCATTTTTATCCAAAGTCCCACAAACATCCATCTGCAGCAAGGATAGCAAGTTGTGTGATTTACAAACCGAGTCCACACATGCATCTAGCTCCTCAAGGTGACAGCTGAGCAACAATGAGAGCTGGAATTAAAGAAAATGAATATTCAGAAAAATAATCAGAAACAATTATTTATGCTTTATAAACAAAAAATGCTCAATAACTAGCAGCTGGCTTGAATCATTTAGATATAGTTGAGGTATTTGATAAGCATGTATCATTAGACCTGTTTGAAGTTTGGTACAGGCAGAAGTTGCTCCAATCTGGAAAGAAAAAATCCAACAAGGACTTGCAGTGCTTTGTCAAAGTCAGGACCGTACTCGACTGGAAATACTTCCTGAAATACAAAAACTGTCTTTCATCTAAAGTTTTCATGCAAACCTATCTAAAAATTAAAAAATTAAAAAAAATGGCCAATTATTTTTTTGCGACTTCCACAGCCACTCTCAAATCAAATATAGCATTTCTGGTCCAGGCTGGACTTCAAAAACATCTAATGTCTTTGACGTGTTTTCAAGTCTCTGACATAAAGACTGCAGACTTCACTTCAAAGTGCAAGAGAAGTCTCAAAAAAATCATATTCTTACTGGGAACGAACATTCACCCATAGACAAAGCAAAGTTACATGTATCATATTCTAGCAATGCCAGGGTCATGGGTTTATTTCCCATTTTATCTCCATATTATCTCCTTTTTTGCAATTACATGTTATTACACACAGCTCCTGAAAAAAATAACATACAATAATCAATAAAACAATATTTTATGGATTTAATCTCACTTTATTTAGTACTGCTGACCCTGGATAACCAAATTTTACTGTGCACACATTAGCTAACTTTGTGTTTGGTGAGAAAGAGCCTTAACTTGATTCACAGGTCAATGCATTTCCTATCACTCTACATATAACAACATCCTCTGATATATCTTGATAGCACACATACATCACATACATGTCTAGATATGTGTGTTTTTTTCTTCTGGAAGATTTCATATTTATTCTGTAATGTATCTGCAATACATTTCTATTTTTTTTAATGGATCTTAAAGACACTGACCTGAAAGAAGTATTCTCTTTTCATGGAGTCCTCTAGCAAGCTCAGGACAAGTTGAAGTACGCTCTCTTGTAAACTCTCCATGTCTGTGTCACTCACCTGTGGACAGGAAAATTACATAAATAACATTAATGCCAACATAAATGAAGTTTAATGGTAGCAAATGTGATGTACACCAATTTGTGTAAAACAAATTTTAATGGACATAACTCAAAATTCACAAAAAAACAAAAAAAGTAAACTCAAGACAACTTAAAAGAGCATCTACTAGTAAATGCTGTAGGAAAAGCTTAGATACATAGTCTAGACATTACCTTTCATTTATTTGTTTGATGCATACTAACGTTCTTCACTATATTAGTTTCAGAGAAGCAACAGTTTATCTTCCCACAAGATAACGTATCCCTGCCATATGCATTTTATTCCTTTGTCATTCATGGTATTCATTTAGTAGTTGTTAATTACTCTTGTTTATCCTTTGTTAATTAAATGTATTTTATTACACTTGTTTCTTCCTTTTGTTGTACAGTAAGAAGTTAACAATATATGTTCAATGTTCAATTTATTTATAAAGCACTTTAAAACAACCTTAGTATACCAAAGTGCTGTACACAGTTACATTGATCCAATCACACAATAGAGTAAACACGCCATTAGAAAACCACAGTCACAAAACATTGAAAGCATGGGAAAAAAGATACGTTTTTAAAAGACTTTTAAACTCAGACACTGAAGAAGCTATTCTGATGGATAATGGCAAATTGTTCCATAGCTTGGGGCCAGCAACAGCAAAGGCTCTGTCACCCCTGCATTTCAATCTAGCTCTGGGAACCAAAAGCCGATGCTTAGTCTGTGATCTGAGTGATCTAGCTGGATTGTGTACTATAATCAACTCGGAGAGATATGGAGGAGCAAGGTTGTTTAGAGCTTTGTACACGAATAGCACAATTTTGAATTGGATGCAATAATTAATCGGTAACCAGTGCAATGAACGCAAGATAGGTGTGATGTGATTCCTTCTGCGACTGCCTGTGAGCAAACGAGCAGCCGCGTTTTGGAGAAGTTGCAGACGATGAATAGATGAGACAGGCAGCCCATAATATAGCGAGTTGCAGTAGTCAAGTCGCAAAGAAATTAAAGCATGAATGACAATCTCAAAACTCTTCCTGCTTAGGAAGGGTTTAACTTTTGATAATCTTCGCAGATGGTAGAAGCTAGCACTCACAGTAGAATTAATTTGTTTGTTCAGCTTTAGGTCACTGTCCAGTATGAAGCCCAGATCCTTGACCTCAGCAGAGCAATATGGGGAAAGAGAGCCCAGATCAACGGTGCTCAATATCTCACCAATCTTTCAGATAAATCAGTTGAACAACTCCCTTCAGTTTACATTAATTCCAACACTGATTGAACAGCCGCCTTTTAGAGAGGGAAACGGTCATCTGTTGTACTCATTGACTGTATAAAACATGGAAGTAATGTCTGTGACGTCACCCGTTGGTTTCTGAAGAGCAGAGGTGGGACCAAGTCATTGTTTTGCAAGTCACAAGTAAGTCTCGAGTCTTTGCATTCAAGTCTCAAGTCAAGTCCCGAGTCAAGACAGGCAAGTCCAAGTCGAGTTGCAAGTCCTCAGCTTTAAGATTCAAGTCTTAAACAAGTCATTAGTGCTTTTTGCCCAAATTAGTGTCTCAGTATTAATTACCATATCAAATTCATAGTAATTTATATCAGGAAGGCAGGTAGAATATGTTTGACATAGTTACATTTCTTGTGAGATGGGTGCCCTTAGTAAAACTGCTCAAGTTCAATTTAGGGATTGTGCCAAAATAGGATAAGCAGTGAAAAAAACTATTTTATTAGTAACAGAATAGCAAAGACAACATAATTTCATAGAAATAACAACTGCAACATACTTTGCAAGGTGAAGAAAATCGCTTCCTTGCCCATAAGGAAAATCCACAAGGAAAATTTAAATTTTTAACCCATCATTTTGATCGGATTTAAGTTATATTTATATTTTATAATAAGTTATATTATATTTAAGTTATATTTTATATTATCTTTAATCCTGTTGCACCATAACTTTAAACTCAGACTTATATCTCAATTATGGATTAACTTTAAACTTAACACTTAAATGCATACCTTGGGTCTTTAGCGACCCGGGACATAATTCTCTACCCTCTCCCTCCTTAATTTTTTTAAGTTAGACATCAACTTTCTTAGTATTCCTCAATCTATTAATTATAAACAATATAACAAGAAATAAAATAGTAAAATATAAAAGAATACCAGTTTTCTGATTAATTTTTTTTAAAAAGTGTATAGGGGCGCTAGAGACCCGAGGTATGTAAATGTGTAAGTATTTTTTCCTGCACAACTATATTTACATATCTGATGACTCAATATGTGCAATGCATCTTTTTTCCTCAAGGTGGCACTGTTTGATACACAATAATGACGTGGCGTTTCACTCATAATTAGCGTAGGCATAAAACAAACGGATATCATTAGCAAAAATTGAAGTGATTTGAATGGCTTTACTGCAGAGCAATTATACGCAATGAAATATAAATGTCACTGTCATTTGATGCTGGATGTGGTGAATAAGCTGCCAGTGAACAAAATATTGAATATGAAGTCATTGAAAACGATAGTTTTGAGAATATGGTTGAGATCGTGAATATGAGGCAGATGTAATGCAATCTGTAATTGTTCTTAAAATATCAAGAGAGTTTTTTTTGCTTTTGCAGCAGTTAAAGATCCATCCGTGCTGTATATAGGTCCGGGTCGCTAAAGACCCTAATATGTAACAAAGATTGGCGAAACAGTCATGCATTTAAGGGTTAATGGAGGTTTAAATTTTAAAAAACCCACATGCAATTAAAATATGTAACTGATCGAACAAAAACAGTGGAGATCTGAAAAAAACAGGTCTCAGAGAGATGTTTATTACAAATAAAAATGAAAGCACATCGAGTTGGCAGAGTGCGAGGGTCGTGGCGGGACGCGGATCCGTCACTCTTGGTGCACCTCGGTGTTGGACAAACAGAAGAAGTGAGGAATATTTAACAGCAGCGGTCACAGTGATAATGAGGCGAGCACCAGTGAAGTTTATCATGCCCGCTCCGTGTGTCTGCTGGGCGGCGATCAAACGGACAGGGCAGAGCTTTTCACGAGCGGAGATCGCTACTAGACGAATCATGTAATTTGTTATTTTTATTATCTCTGTTCTTTTGTCGTAAGTTATGCTATTACTCCATTAATTTTTACTAGCCTATATATCCAGCACTCCCTGAACGCAGTCTCTGGCTTGTTGCCAATCAAGCGCAAGCATGCTGCAGGGACGCTTCTATAACGACTTTGAGCTGATCATAAAGTCTTTCCGAGTCACAGGGCTCCAAGTCAAGTCTCGAGTCCTTGCTGTCAAAGTCTAAGTCGAGTCTCAAGTCTTCTTTAATTATGTAGAGTCGCAAGTCATCAAATTTGGGACTCGAGTCCGAGTCAAGTCTCGAGTCAAGTGACTCGAGTCCACACCCCTGCTGAAGAGCATTTTTGAACCCCAAAGTGGGCAGCACTGGCTAGCGTCATCTTGGCAGCAAGTCACTCCCGGATAATCGAAAATGGGCAAAGAGGCAGGACATGGGTGAACCTGGTTGCTGAAACCACGCCCACCTAGCTCGACAGTAGTGACAGCAGCAGTAATCCACCTGCCACTCAAGTGGCCACGCCCTTAATTATGCAGAACATTAAGGCTTAATATAATTTAAATGGATGAATTATAAAAAAAATTCACCCCCTTCACATCGGTCATGAAGGGCAAAATTAGCTATATAGACCAAAACCACTTTTTGTACCAGGCTGTAAAATATTTTTTTCTGCTGTAAAGTCAGGCATTTTAACATGGGGGGGTCTATGGGATTGACTTCCTTTTGGAGCCAGACTCTAGCGGTCAGTCGATGAATTGCAGTTTTAGTCACTTCCGTGTTGGTTTCAAGAGAGACCGGAAGGTTGCCGCTTGGTTGTACTCATAACTGAACCTTAAATGGAAAAAAAAAAATGTGTAATACCCTCTACAGTACTTTGCGGTTGAGAGCAGTTCCATTCCCATTACCAGATAGTGATGTGGCCAGTCAGGATTCTCTTTACAGCATGTGTAGAATGATAGCAAGAAGAAGAGGTGCTGGTGGTCACTTTGTTTTGACCACATGAGATCCTCAATGATGTGTACACTGAGTAATTTGAAGCTCCTGACCCTCGTCAATTGTGTTTTGTTTATAGGAATATACTCGCTGTTCAGTCACGTAAAGTTCGCAACTAGTTCCTTCCTCTTGCAGAAATTGAGAAAGAGGAGTTTCCTGTGTTTCTGTGTTTTCTCCAGTGCTGAGGAAATTCTTAATCAATTTATCATTCTTATCACCTGAGAAAGGAAATTTGTCAGAGTGACAGAGTGACAGTCATCTAAGTATATGATTTTAGATTGCTTCGGGGCAGGCACAAGAGTGAATATTTTGAAGCATGACTGCAGACAAGGAAAGAGAGGGGTTGAATATGTCTGAAAACACCAGCCAACTGGGTCTCAAATGCTCAGAGGACAGAGAAGGGAATGCATTTTGGACCTGTGGCTTTGTGGATATTCACCCGCTTCAGGTTACATTGGCTAGGAAGCTTTGCCTGCAAAAGCTTTCTCCATGAGGGTGGCATTGTTCTAAGCACTGTTGAGGGCAGCTTTGCTCTCAATGTGAGCAAAAGTGGTCTTGAGCTTGTCCAGAGGAGTTACAGCAGTGTTCACAGCAAAGATCACAGTCCGTTATGTTGCTTATTCCATGCTACAAGCTTCTAGTGTTGGTGGATTTGACTCCAATTTGCCTATGTGCTGACGCTTGTTTGCTCTGATAGATTTACTGAGAAAATAACTGAAACACTTCCAGAACATGTCCCAGTCTAGGACCGGAGGTACTGACATGATGGGGTCGGCTCTCCTTTTGCATTTTTGAATTTGCAGCTGGACAATCTATATAAGGTCTCCGATGATATGTTTGTAAACAAAGGACTGGTATAGAGGAACACAAAGTCTGGTTTGTGATGAGCAACAGAAGAACCAATTTCCAAAAGTGTTGAAACTTCCAGTAGGAAAAACAAGAGCATTTGTAGCCAAACAACCAAAGCCATGTATTGTCAAAGCTTGCAACACAGCTGTCTTTTTTTTTTGGTGCCATCTTGGATCGAGTTGAAACCGGCATGGAAATTGCAGTTGCACAGCAAAACACCATATGATGTGCCAAGCACACAAAAAGCAAGTGAAAATAAAATCTAAATCTTTACTGCTGAGTCAGTTCAGTTGCAGTTAAGATCTCTGAAACATGGATTTAAGACATTTTAATACCAATTTTATTTAACACCCTATTTTTAAATTAGGACTTTAAGGGTCCACAGACACCTTGATTTATCACTTAATATAATTTAATCAGGAAATCAGTTCTATTTTTGTGCCGCTTAACAAAAAAATGACTATATTTAATCATAATAGAAATACATAATCAGATAATTCTGATATTAATCTGAATCATCTTGCGAAAGCAGGTGTACAGTGCAATTTTGAGTGCTTCATCACAGTTTTATTAAAATTATATTTTATTTGTAGTAGTAGTAGTATTATATTTTTATTTAATGCCATCTCATCATCATAGGCTATTTTCATGGCAAAAACCATTAAAAAAATACAAGTATAACAAATACAATAAAAACCAGCAAACAAACTAACACAAGTTATATTACACAACATTTGTTATATTTTATTTGGATTTAATATATATAAAAACAAATAGATGTGCAATAGATTAAAAAACATCCAGACTTGACATACCTTCAATAAATCAGCAGTCTGAATTTGGTGAATGTGTGATTTGACAGTATGAAGGTCTGCTGGGAGCTCACCTCGACACATCTCAAGAATCATCTAAAAGATAAATTATAGTGAACATAAACAAAACATAAAACGAATAATACATGATGCACAGCATCTAAGTTTTAAAGTTAACTATATCTTCAAGTGTTCTTTGCAATATATGAACTCTGGTCTAGGACAACATTATTTATACACAACAATGAATAATTAAGAAAAATATACTTTATGAAAACAGGACATTTTTAAGCATGCACTTAAAAGCTGACAGTGAAAAATTTAACCGACATTTCACATTTTGAAAATTTGTAACTTTAGCAGTATTGTGCGCAAGTTATTGTGAAAATATTAAGTTTTTTTACTTCAAAGGCTGCGCAACTCCAGAGGTCGCATTTGTTGGCTGCATACATCATCATAGCGGTCTCATTTCAAAGCAACAATTATAAAATAGGAGTGGGTGAGTGGTCTGCCATATTTTACCATATATTTATATTTTTTTGCATTTAAATGAGGGTAAGACGGAAGCAATTGTCCTTGGGTAATGGAAAACCAAATTTTAATTGTGGTAATCTAAACTCTTATATCAAAACAACTGAGAAAAATTTGGGAGTTCTTTTTGATTCCTCCCTTAAGTTTGACCAACATATCAACTTAGTAGTCAAGTCATGCTTTTTCCATCTTAAACTTCTGTCAAAAGTTAAATCTTTTTGAAAGAGTCATACATGCTTTTGTTTTATCACGTTTGGACTATTGTAACTCCTTGTATACAAGGACTACCCCAATCCTCCATGTCACGGCTTCAAATGGTTCAAATGCTGCAGCTAGATTTTTAAAAGGGGTTCGTAAGCGAGAACACATTACTCCGATTTTAATGTCTCTGAATTGGTTGCCAGTGCGTTATAGTGCGAATTCTGTTGTTTGTTTTTAAGTCCTTAAATGGTCTGGCACCTTCTTATTTGTCAGATCTTGTAAAAGTAAATAAGTCAGCCAGATGTTTGCGATCCTCAGACAGTATTACTCTGTCATATCCAAGACCAAGACTGAAGTTGAAAGATGACTGTGCGTTTGCAGTAGCCAGTCCTAGGCTATTGAACAGTCTTCCCTTATCTGTGAGATCTGCATATTATGTACAGTATATGATTTTAAATCTAAGTTACAGTCTCATCTGTTTACCCTTGCATTTAATAAATTATAGACTAATTCTTGGTCTCTTTTTAATGTATATTTATTGTATTATTATTTTTTTTTCTATTTTACCTTTTTCTTCTGGACAGCACAGTGGTCAATTCTTGTTGTGTTTATTTGTGCTTTATAAGTAAATAAATGAAAA